CGCCCCCCCCCCCCCCCCCCATCCATGCCACTGCCAAGGCCAAAGAGCCCGGGAGGCTGCCAGATGCCAGGGCCCCCGGTGTGAGGGCGATTTCTCTAAGAGGTCACCACGGGGTAGCTCACAGGGGCAAGGACTCACCGTTAAAGCCAGAACTGATGGCCTGCTGGGCCCAGGTCAGCTGGTTCTCCTGTCCCACTTGCTTCAGGACAGACAGGTTCTGTGTAGCCCAAGAAAAATCTGGGATGAGCTTTGGGAGCCAGGCTGAGCCCGCGCACTCAGCCGAGTCCCCTCAGGTGAGCTTGGTTCCCATGTGTCCCTGGCTGTAAACCTGTCCTACCCTGGACCCTGTGAGCTCCCACCCTGTAGGCCCTGAGGTGGAAGGGAGGTGACGATCCCAGAGGCCACTTTCTCTGGCTGCCCCCGTGTCCCCTATCCCTCTGGCAGAGATGTGTAAGGGTGGAGGCATGACCCAAGGCCTCTCTCCCTTGCATCCAATGCTTCTCCCTGACATGGTCCCTTGTGAGGAGAGGGAGTGTGACACAGGGTTGGGGAGGGCAGCATGGGGGAGGCACATAGGATTGGCTTTCAGGAGATTTGGATGTCTGTCTGCTTCAACTTCCTCTGTTTAAAAAAAAAAAAAAAGTGACACGGGGCGGGGGGGCACAGATACAAAAAAAAAAAAAAAAGGGACACGGGGCGGGGGGGCACAGATACACAGTCAGGGGGTCTGTCACACTTAGAGTGACTCTGCAGTCACTCCACCTTTCTGGGGCTATTTCCTTACTTGCAAAGTCAGGGATTAGCACAGATGAATTTTTTTTTTTAAACAGATGAATTGTTTTAATACTTTTTTGTTTTACCAGTGAAAACTTACCAAAAAAATCTTAGGAGAATCCCAATCTATGACACAGAACAGGTGAAAGGAAGGCTGCTCTGGTTAAAGGCGGGAGGCGGTGACATGCGCTGCTCAGCCTCTCCCTGCCACCTGGCCCTTTCCCCCCCTCGGCAACTCCGGACGTGTCCTTGGAAACCTGGGGCTTCCCGGAAGGCGGCTGGGGTCCCAGGGAGTGGATGCTTTCTGGCCTCCCTCCTCCCTCTGCCACAGGGACCAGGGCCAAGCCCCTGAGAATCCCCTCTGTCCTCCTGCCACCCAGAAAGCTGGGCACCTCACGGTGGGCTGGCCAGGGCGCGAGTGCGTGCGGAGGGGAGAGCGCACGGGAGCCACACCTGCAGGGGCTGGATGCCGCTGGCCAGGAGGTGGGAAATCATGCGCACGTGGGCCCTCTTCTTTGGGTCCTGAGGCAGGAGTCGCGGCGTGGGCCGGGTCTCCTCCAGGTACTCAATGATGGCCAGCTGTCCGGAGGCGAGCAGTGAGGCAGGGACCATGGGGGGACTGTAAACTCCTCTTCCTCCCCCACTTCCAACACCACCATCGTCACCAGCCCCCTTCTTACCCTTCTTACCATCCTCCCCTTGAGACCTGTGAAGCCAAGAGGCTGCCCAGGAGGATGAGATCATTTTGGACCCTTGTCCTACAGAACTTAGTCCCCCATATGCTTGAGTCTCCCTTCACTTCCCAAAGCAAGCAAGCAACCTTCCTCCGTCCCCACCTCGTCCCTGCTGAGAGCTGGGTGCCCTGGGCAGACACAGGCAAGGAAGAGCTACGAGGTCCTCTTGCTCAGGGCACCACGCTCATGAGGGGCCTCCCAAAGCCGCCACTCACTGACTGGCCAATGGTGATTCCATCAATCTTCAGGGCTGGCACCTGCTTCATGGGATTCAGGGCCTGGAATTCTTCAGAGAACTGTGGAGACAAGGCCCTGGTGGACTGGGCAGCCTGGCCTGAGCTGGCTAAAGCAGAGTCTGGCATGCAGGAAGCCCCTAGCCTACTGCCCACCTGTACCTCCTTCCCCTGGGAAAGGCCCTGGCTCCTAGGCCCAGGGTGATACCTGGGGGATCTGTGAAGTATCCTGAACCCCAGTGGCTGCTGAGATACAGGTTTCATCCCAGTGGCCTGGCTATGTGCTTGTCCCTGCACCTTATATGTGGTCACCAAGCCACATCCAGAGGGCCTGGCATGGGGCAAGGACCCGCTCACCACCCACACTTCTGGAGTCAGACATGGAGAGACCAGGCTGTGGTGCGGAGCCTGGAACCTGGGCCCTTCCCATGGCTCCTCTTGCTGCACAGCTGGCCGCCCTGTCCCACAGGGCCGGGCCAGCAGCCTCCTCTGGCCATGGGGACCACAGGACGCATGCTCATCTCTTGCCTGCAGAAGTCTGCCCCCCCTGCCGGACCCCTCTCCAAGGCCTCTAACTCCTATATTGTGGCCTGGGGGCAGCCTCCTTACCTGCTGCCCCCCATCCTTTGTGAGGTTGATGGTTATCATCTCATAGTCCATGTTTTTCAAGGCCAGAGCTAGGAGAGACAGCAGACAAGTCGGTGACAGCCTCTGACCACACTTCCCAGGGTGACGAGAGGGAAGGAGGCTTCTTTCTCCGCACTGCTGGGTAGCCCTGTCGCCTTCTTCCCAGCTTCCTGGGTCACCACCCGCTCCCCTACCCCAGGGCCATGATGCTCTGCCTCTCTTGCCCCTGGGCTCTCTGTATCCCCAGCGGACCTCTCATGCCTCTAGGTGGTGCTATGAGGGTGTGTGCCCTGGCCCGCTGAGGGCTCCTGGAGGACAGCAGGGAAATGTCCCCTTCATCTCTGCCCCTGGCAGGGCCTTACCCAGTAGCAAGCAGGGCTAATTTGTTGGAGACATGCAATCGTTCCCCCATAAAGGTCATCTGAGGGCCAAGGGAAGGTGCTCAGTGACTACGCAGGGCCCACACAGGCAGAGGACACTCTTGTTCTGTTTAGAGGAGAACCCCTTTCTAATCCATTCTCTCTGTTCTCAGGGCTGTTCACTACAGATCCCAAGGCATCAGGGCTCTCTGGTGACCTCAGCACATCTGCTGTGACTCCCAGTGGCTGGATTTCCTCTCCATCTCCTTTGATGTTTTCCTCCCAGCAAGGTGAGGGCAAAACACTCGGTCAACCCTAGTGGAGGACACTGTGTGTGTAAGTGTGCACACTTGTGCCTTAAAATATGGCGATGGCTAGTATCAGGCAAATGAGCGATGGGAGGAGGGCAAGACGTGTCATAGTCTTCAGACAGCCCAGGAGACGCGGGGCTCCTCCTCGGCGCCGGTCAGCTCCACCCTGGAGAGTGGAAGTGGTCGGGGCCAGGCAGGAGGCCAACGCATGGTGGCCCTGCAGAGACAGTGCCCACGCTGCTGGTCTGGCCCTGTCAGGGCAGAGGTTCTGGGCCCAGAGAGGGCGTCTTCTTGGAGAAATGTGTCCTCAGCACCCCAGTGCTCTTGCCTACTGATTCTAGCAAATAACAAGTGACTGTGGGAGGGGGAGGGTTATGAGGATGGCTTCCGAGTCAGGAACAGGCTCCTGGCAGCAGGCTACCTGGGTTTAAATGTCATCACATTCACTTGCTAGCTGTGTGGCCCTGGGCAAGTAATGTCAGCCTCTGTGCCTGTTGCCCCATCTGACAGGCAGCATAGCGTAGTAAAGAGCATGGACTAGCTGGAGCTAGGCTAGCTGGTTCAGATTCCAGCCCTGCCCCTTACTAGATACATGATCTTGGGCAGTTACTTAACCTCCCTGTGCCCCAGTTTTCCCACCTGTACAATGGTGACGATAATAATACCTCCCTCCCAGGGTCGTTGAGGTTTAAATGGAATCATGTACACAAAAACACTCAGCACCATTCTCTTTCTCTATGAGCTGCTACGACTATGACCTTGGCCGAGGGCTGACTTACGCTGAGGGACAGAAGGGTTGAAGCAGGACTAAACCAGAGGGCCCAGTTTCTCCTTCCCTGAAGCCTCTGGGGTCCACGCTGGCCAGCTCTGTTTAATTTGCCAGATCAAATAAGATAAGAACTGAGGAAGGCCAGCTGTTCCCTGCCCGTTACCAAGGATCTCTGGAATCTGTGAGCCTGCCTGAAGCATGGTTGCTAAGGGGCTTTGGAGAGCACAGTGGGAGAGGTGGCAGGCCCAGGAGAAAAAACACCCCTCCCCGCCTTCCTCTAGTTGGACTTCTGAGGCGGAGGTGCCATTCAAGGCTGAGGGCTCCAGGAGACTGGGGATGCTGTGGCTGGTAACCTGTCTGACAGAGGCTTTTCACCCAGGCCTCCCTCCACCCCATACCACCCCACTGCAGCTCTCGGTGGAGGTACAGCTCTTACCGATTCGAACTCTCCATGAGCAGGAGCTTCGGAAATAGGAATAGAGGATGGGCTGAGGAGAGAAGACGAGGACGCATGTTAACCCATGGTTGGTGGGTTCTCAGCCCCAGGAGCCCACTGGAGGGGAGGCAACAGCTCCCAGCCAGGGGTCTCCAAGCCAGCACTGTTTCTTCCCAGCCTGCTAGGCCTCCTTCCTCAGGCCTGCGTCTGGAAAACTCAGGCCAGACTCAGAGCTCTCTGGGTTAGAGGCCTTGGGAGTCATGTGGGGTCCCTCAGCTCCAAAGTGTGCTGTCATGCATTCCTGATGTCCAGGGGGCCCCCAAAGGGGCAGCCAGACTGCAAGTGCCCTCCTTACCTTCCTAGACTCAGCCATGATGATGTGGTGACCCTTGGCCTCTCAGGGAATGTCCCCTCCCACAGAACTGCAGGGCAGGGGGAGGAACCCTAAAGGGGTGGATCCCATGAGCCAATGGGGAAGCTGGGCTAAACAGGCATCAGGAGAACTTTGACTCTGGTCAGAAAGGGCATCTCTTTCTAATCTGCGGGAAGCTTTTTGTGCTCCTGGTGGGGCCAGGTCTGGTGTCCTGGGCAGACAGCGAGGCCTGGTTTTGAAGCAGTAGTTCATGTGGTGCAGTGGCCTGGGAGCTGGCACACCGGGAGTCTGGTCCCAGTGCAGGAACTAGCCCCGCATGACCGGGGACAAATCCCTACCTTCTCTAGTCTTCAGCTCCCTCATCTGTAAAACGAAGGGTTGCCCTAAAATGATAGCTTATTTCCTTCCAACAGTGGCAGAAAGACCAGGAAATCTCGTTTTCTGCACTTTGGTGCCCATCTCTTTCAACATCCCACCCACCAGTCCTCCAGACTCTCAGCTGATCTCATAAAAATAGCATCTGGAAAACTCAGGCCAGACTCAGAGGGGCGAACTTTCCTGGCGGTCCAGAGGTTAAGACTTTGCCTTCCAGTGCAGGGGGTGTGGGTGCGATCCCTGGTCAGGAAGCTAGGATCCCACATGCCTTGCAGCCCAAAAACCAAAAAACATTAAAAAAAAACCCCAGAAGCAATATTGTAATAAATTCAATAAAGACTTAAAAAATGGTACACATCAAAAAAAAATCTATAAAAAAAAAATAGCTGGGGCATATGCCCACTGACTCCAAAGCTGAGGTCATAAGCTGGCAGCCCACTGTGTTCTGTTTGGTCTATACTGTATTTAAAAATGTTTCAATTCATTGCTAACATTAAAAGTCACATTGTTTCATATACAAATCCTGTTGTCCGTTTTTTCTTAAAAAAAAAAAAATCTGGAGATAGTGAACTCAGTTTCCTGAGGAGCAAAATTGATCAGAGCCAATTAATGGCCCCTTTTAGAGAGGGCATGCCCTCTCAGATCTGCCATGGCCCCCACCTGGTCCCCTTCTCTCATTTTTGTTACTCTGAGGCCCCTGAAGGCAGCAGGGTGTGTGACCTCTCCTCTAAAGTTTAGGGGACTCAAAGCTAATTTCTCTGGTGCTTCTTGGTCACCAGCATTTCAAAGCAGAACCCAGAACAGAGTTACCAGTAATAAGCACTCATGAATCTTCTGGCAGACACATATGTAGCCTTTTGGATGAGGGAGAACTCAACAGAATTTCTTAGAGCACCCTTGTCTACCATCCCTCCGACTACAGACATTTCACCCAAGTTCGCTCTCCCTTCTGTATGCCCCAGCTCACCAAGCTGCTACCTGACCTTGCTTTCATCATCCCTGAACTACCAACTCCATCTTCTACTCCATCTTCTACGTGGGCAAGGGCACAAGTGGGAACCCAGTTCCTCCCAAGTTAGTTCCTGACCCTGGGAGTTCCAGTCTATTCTGAAGGCAACTCTCGTGGGGAAAGTGAAGATAGTTCTGGCACAAAGGTCAAGTGATAGGCAGCAGGCATCCTTGGCGGGAGAAGAGTTCGTAGGCTACAACGGGATGTACCCTGTTCCAGGGTGCATCCCTTTCCTTATTTGGTTAGGCTGGAGGGGCCCCTGGGGCCAAGAGGCAGCTACACTGAAACAGAATGGAACCACTAGAGAGCTGCAGACATCAGCTTAGAATCCTTAAAGAAATGCCTTACCTAATTACTAAATGTTACACCTTTGACCTAGACTAAGGGTGACCACAGAATCACTCTAAATGCCCTGCCCTCAGGTTTCTTACTTATGGGCCATCAGGAGATGTAATGGAGGGCAGTTTCTGATCTTTCTCTTACCAATGATAACTTTATAAACCATCCCATGTTCCTTTTTGCATTTGTAGGGCTAAATTTTAAGCCCAAGTAAAATATCCGTTTCATCACCACTCCTGGAGGAATTGTTTTTAATTCAAATATGGATTCTCACCACTCTAGCAGATTTTATTTTAAAACCATCTCTTACACATGATTTTCGAGAAAGACTCCTAAACTCCTGTTTGGGAGTGGGAGGGCTATACACTGTTAAAGTGATGCTATATCCCACCTGATGGGCCTGCACCTTCCTTTGAGCTACAATAGCTGTTCTCAACCTTTAATAGAGATTGATAACAGTGGTTCTGGGGTTGGTCCTGGGAAATACAAATTAAAACTGGTAATAAGGTCCCCAAGTGATTGTGATGACTATAAGTGCCACAGTTTCCCCTCGCCCCTGGCGCTCTCTCAAAATGCAAACAACCCTGAAAGGCCATTTAACTGTTAAGACCTGCCGGCCTACCGGCAGGGCTGTGCGAAACAGGGAGACGAGGGACGACGCTTGGAAGCCCTAGCAGGTCGAGTGGGGTTGGGGGTGGGTGGAGAGACAGATGAAGAGCAAGGGTACAGCCACCAAACCAAGTCGGGTACTCTCCACGAGGACCCTGCACCTCGCGCCCAATCCTCTACGGGATCACAGGCCACAGCGAGTAGCGCGCAGGTGCAGAGCGGTGCCAGCGCGGCGCATTGCATGCTGGGAGTCGCCGCAGGAGCTGTGGGCGGGGCCGAGCGGCTCACTTTGACCCCGCCCCCAAGACTTCTCCGTGTTTCTAAGTAGAGCCTCTCTCCCCGGATGCGTGACACAGACCTTCCCCACCTGCATCTTGCACTCTGGGCGACCCCTCTTCCAGGCCAGGCAACTTCGCGCCTGCGGCTCTCCGAGTCGTCGACGATTCAGGCCCAGTGAGACCCCGACACGTCAGAACTTACGTTTCCGTCTCGGTAAAGCTAGGGCTTGGACTAAAATGAGCTTTAAGATCTCTTCTAGCTTGCCCCGCCCTTCCGCCCCGCCCCCACTCCTGGCGCTGCTGGGAATTGCAGTTCCGTGAGCCCGCTTTCTCCCCGGCCCGCCCGGACGTCATGCTCTGCGCCACTAGCCGCCTCCTAGCGGCCCGGGCGGCGACCGCGCTCCCCTTCCACCCTAGAGTCCGGGGTAGGGAACTACATTTCCCAGGGCCCCCCGCTGCCGGGGCAGGGAACTACATTTCCCAGGGTACCCCGAGACGCCGCTTGGTGACTTATTGGCGGGGCGGCTCGCAAGACCCAGCGTGCTTGCGGGCCGGAGGGCCATCCTGAGGAGGGGAAGGATGCCGCCGGCCGTAGGCGGAGGCCTGGCAGGGTCCGAGCTGCGTCCCCGGAGGGGCCGCTGTGGGTCCCAGGCTGCTAGGGCCGTGGGCCCGGCCGTGGCCACTGAGGCTACAGCGCGGAGCCCCAAACGGCCTGCTCCGAGCTCGCGGCGCTTCGAGGCGCCCGGCCGGTGGGCTCTGCTGGCCCTGGTGACGCTGATGTCCTTCGCCACCCGCTTCCACCGTCTGGACCAGCCGCCGCACATCTGGTGAGTGATGGGAGGGACTGGGCAGGCACCATGGCAACTGGAAGGGAGGGGCGCGCCTTCTCATTGGTCTGGAGGCACGTAGAGGGCGGGATTCACAGGCGGAGGGGCGGGGCCGCGTTGGAGGGGAAAGAGGTTTCTGGTGGTTGCCTCTGCCCAGGTGCAGTCTCCGTGAGAGAGATCTTTTTGCTCCGGTGTGTGTGAGAGTGGGATTGCGTAGGATCTGAGGAAGCAGTCTTCATGTCTTGCAGGTTATGCTGCAGCGTCTCACCTGGCTCTCAAATGGTAGCTTTTAAAGGTGCTTTGAACTGACCCAGGAGAATTGGAAATTCTTAGTACAGAATTTCCTAAGGCCTGAGTTCCTAATCTGCAGGATTTCCAGACCTCCACGGAGGGGAACATTCCTATCTGAGTACCACATTCTCGGGAGCCGGAACAACCTGTGTGTCCACGGATGATAACAAGGGTCCCAGGAAGCGGGTCTGGGGTCATCCTGTGAGGATGTATTTTCTTAAAGGCTTTATTTTGTAGGACTAAGGTGCAGGAGTCAAATTTCGTTAAAAAAGCTTAAAAAGTTTCCAGCTCAAAGGAGGAAAATTTTTATACAGTTTGAAAATGGTTAATTTGTTTGGCCAAGACGTGATACCATGTTTTCTCAGTATCACTGAGGAGAAAATGTAGAGGTTGTTAGAAATGGAACTCCTTGACTAAAAAGCAAGCAGGCTAACAAACTATCAGGGTTACCCTACTTGGAGGTTAATGAATTAGCTTGTTACTATTTCATGAGTGCTGGCGGAAGATGTGAGACTCCTGGGTCAGTGTCAAAAGACTTATTACTCGTAGCAGAGGAAGCAGGATGAACATCGGCATACTGGATTCAGTTTCTCATGGCTCCGAAGTCCCACGGGGTGACGCTGTGGGTTCAGATGGATGACTGCACACACTGTGCGTTGCCTTGCAGCTAAGGAGCAGCAAGCTTGGGGAATTTACGAAAAGCAAGCGTACTTTTTGCCCTGGAGAGAGATGTTACCTCATCTCTCAAGGCTGCTTGGTGCAAACACAACTTTGGGAAATGGCCCAGGTAAAGTGCAGTCAAGGCCCTGCATTCTCCGCATACCCAGCAAGATGTGTGGAAATACAAGAGACCCATGGAGGACTGTCTCTCCCAACAGTCTCACTCCTTGATTTTACACTCTCTTGGCTTCTAGCAAATTTTCACATGAATGTGCAACTCCATTGGCTACTCTGATTAACCTGGCTGAGGCAGGGACCCAGTGTGTTTAGTTTGTCTCATACAACATTTAATTAAGCCTGCTCTCACCAGGAGTCAAAACAGCAGGTGGGGCTTCCCTGGTGGCGCAGTGGTTGAGAGTCCGCCTGCCGATGCAGGGGACACGGGTTTGTGCCCCAGTCCGGGAAGATCCCACATGCCACGGAGCGTCTGGGCCCGTGCGCCATGGCTGCAGAGCCTGCGTGTCCGGAGCCTGTGCTCCGCAACGGGAGAGGCCACAACAGTGAGAGGCCCGTGTACCGCAAAAAAAAAAAAAAAAAACAGCAGGGTGAGGCCAACCTGTGGTGTTAACCTGTGCCCTCCGGGTGCTGGATCTAGCCCCCTGTTAATAATTGTGTGTGTTGCAGGGTGGAGTGGGGTGGGGAGGGACCAGGAAGTCTTATTTCAGATAGCTGAGATGTAGTCTAAGGCCAGTCTGTTATCCATTATAGTCTGTACACAGGTGTTTAGACTGACCTCTGATTTTTGATGTCACTGCCAATAATTACAATGAGTTCTCCCATTTAAAAAGCAACTCCCACGCCCAGTGGAAAGACATTCCCCAGCACATTCTTCCCTGCATTCTAATATATTACCTGAAGGGGTGCAGATCACTCCAGTTCAGGACTTTTGGTTAAATTTTATTTGGATTTCCATCAGATTTGATTTAGATCATCATTTCAGTGATTTGGTTAAGCCCCATGGGCAGTGAGAGTCACTGCGTAGTTGCAGCCTCAATCACTATGCAAGGCATAACCTAAGGTCCCTAGGGTGTCAGGAGAAGCTTATGAATTTATAACAGTCATACTAACAGAAGGTTGTGCCAGTCTGTGGTTTTGCGCACATGCGAGGGAGGTCCATGTTTGGGAGTTAATGTTGATGTTGTCAGGGACATGAGGATAGTTCAAGACCGGCCATGTCCACATGAGTTTTTCTGATTTCATAGTGGAATAACAGTCAGATTGCTAGCTACAGCTGCCACTTGACTTAGTTGAACTGTGTTAGTATTTTGCCAGGCTGGGTGCTGGGCCTAGGAGGCAAAGAGAGCATTAATTGTTTCCCTTCTCTTTACATTTCCAGGGGCCTAAGATGTTCCTTCCTCAGGTGGAAAGGTTGTTTATTTCCTCCCACTGCCATATAATCAGTGTGCCCCACTCTAGTACCTGTAATTTCACCTTTACTCCAATTATTGCATACTAATATCCAGACCTTTCTGTCATGGGCACTGTCAGAAACTTGACAGAGACTTATTATGTCTCCCACCTTGGCCCATGTGAGCCACTGTAGCGGGACTTCACAAGCAGTGTGCTCAACCAGGTGATCTTTATGCACTAAAACCACGTCACTCCAACAAGAAAACCCAAGTGACTGAACTAGAATTAAGTTTGAATCCCATAAATCCCCAACTGCACCCCCAGGCTGATCTAGGAATAGTCAAGGAAGAATCTCAAATTTTCAAAATAGGTTTTTATAACCTTCCACCCCTTTTGTTCTGATCATTACCCAGTTGGTGGCCAAGAGGAGATGAACACCTAGTTAGGTGACCAAACTACTTGACTAAGGTGTGTGAACAAGGAGGAAGGTGAGGGAAGTTGACTCAGCAATCTTTTTGAGAAGACTGTTCAGTGCTTGACAATATCAGATACGTGTGGATGGTCTGGAGTGTGGAATGTCATCAGATTTTTGGCTATTCAGCCATTTCAAAAAAAAAAAAAATGGTGTACCGTTGTCAGACTGTAGATGGTTTGGAAAGCTGAAAACACAACACAGTTTAGTTTCAAGGGCCGCAGTGATATATCTAGAGTCAGATGATTGGACTGGAACAGCATCATCAACACTAACCTGAAACGCTGTCAACAGCAGTGGGGCACCAGTGATAGCCTGGAACGTGGAACGAAGTCCTAATACAATAAGTTTCCTTGGAGTGGTCAATACCCCACGCAATGTGGCTTCCTTTACTGCAAGACAAACGTGCCAACTTTTGGCAGGAGTCACAAGTTACCACAATGTAGCAATGGCTTCTGTTTTGGAGACATATAGTCCTTTACTTTGTGCCCAGTCCATGGTGGTAGATGTGTTTCCATGCCTGGTGTATTGATGTATCCAGGTGGCAATGGCAGCAGTCTGGATGGTGCAGGTTTGATCAACAGCTTGATTCTAATCAGTCTTATCAGAATACTGGCCCTTACTGGGGGCATCTACATGAGTGATCCAGATTGTCCCATTGGCAGGCAGCCATGATTTTTTTCCACAGTTCTTGGCTCCGAAGAGGGGTGTTTTACATTTCTTAGTATATAGCCTTACAAGTGACACACCAGATGGTTAGGCCAATGGCAAAAGCCTAAGGGAAAATAAAAATATAACTTGTCTGTTTCTTAGGAGTGTTGTCTAAGGCAAAGGTGATGACTTTCAATTCAGTGCATTGTGCCAATCAACCCTTATTGCAGTCGGTCTTCCAGAAATGTCAGCGGGGCTGGATGATAGCTACTGCCCTGTGGACACCATCTGCTTTTAATTTAGCCTAACCATCAGTGAACCAGGCACAAACATTAGGAGGAACCTCTGGGAATCAAGACCCCACTGAGTCAGCGGCTTTGCTTCAGGTGGTGGAGTGGAAGATAGTTTCTTCCAAAGGGGCAGCTGCCACCTCTTCTTGAAAAACCAAGATGCCTCTAGAGCCAGGCCGGCTATACTCTTGAATATACCACTTCCATTTCACCAGCGAGGCTTCTTGAGCCCTTCCGTCGTTAGCCATAGATTTCAAGTTGACCCACCCCAAAGTGACAGTATCAGGCCAAAGAGTCCTGAGGTCTTCATGGTTCAGGCCTTCAAGTTCAACAAGAGCTTAGTAGTAGGTTGACCGTTGCCCCTTTAAAAGGGTGTGTACTTGGTGCCTATGTCCAGCAGATGGCGCTGTCATCATGGAGCACTCCAAGCCCCCTCCCCAATCCCCCCACCCTGAAATTCCATCTTTAAAGTTGTAATGTCCCTTTCTCATCTTGTGATTTATATTATTTCTGTAGGACCACTTGGGAGGGGACAGGATCACCTCTCACTAAATTAGCAGTCTCTCAATGGGATAATCTTGGACACATATGGGGTAAATACGATTATGCCTTCAGCAGTGGGAGACACAACAGTAGTTGCAAGGGCCCTACCCACAAGGCCACTTTCCCTTCCCTTCCCCGCTGGGAACTTGGCTCAGACCCTATCAGCTGAATTTGGGTGCTTTTTCCCCTTTCAACTAACAAGTCTAATAGGCTTGCATCAGGAGCTATAATAACAGCCACCTAGAGGTTATGCCATTCCCTGGTGGGAGGTGTGGCGAGTGCTGGATGCAGGGTGCAGGAGGAGGCCTTTTTGCCCCTTCAGCCCCTCGGCAGGCTTGGCACCACTTCTTCCCAGTCCGCTTTCCTGTGTCTGGTGAGCACCTGGGCTTAGGGGCTTTTTCATTCAGTCCCTGTACACACTGCTATGGTCCTCCCTGCAGTCCTCGGCACCTTTGGTAATCCCTGCGCCTAGCAAATCCTCTTACCCCAAGGGATTGAGTAGGGTGCTCCTGTATCCAGTAGGACTTTGAGCTTAAGTCCCTCTCCTCCCAGAGTTCCCCACCACACTAGGATGGGTGTGTATGGCCTTTAGTCCCCTTTAGGGACAGGGAGACCTTAGCCCCACCTGTAATCATCTTGCTCTTTAAAGCAGCTGAGATTGTGGCAGAGGGGGAGGGATCATGGGACATGGAGGGACGGAGTGGCTCTGAGCCTCTAAGCAAGGCACACCTTTAGCTTGAGCACACAGCTCACCTGAGAACCTTTCAATGTTTTCATTTTACCCAGAGTTCTGCATTGAATAGCAAGGTCCTTACTGCTGGCACCATTTATGTAAGCTTTGGGGCCTCCTAGATTCATCAGCCCGTCCATCTTGCCGTTTGGCTGGGGCTGCTTAGCTTATTGCCCCAGGATTGTGATTATATCCTTTCCTCCTTTTGCCCAGAAGGCCGTGGGCAGTAACCAAGGCAGCATTCAGACGGTTTGTTTCAATCCTGCCTCTCTCCCCTCAACCTCATTCATAGGCAGGACAGTGGGGGATTCTTACTACCTGCCTTCCCCACCACTTGGGCAAGAGCATTCACCACCAGATTCCAGGGAGTCTTCTCTTATCCGCTAATCCAGTCCATGATGGCCCTTGTCCTTTCTCTTAAGGAAAGCTATGACTCAGCATCCTATGCTTGTCACTGAAACTGTCAGGGTTTGGGGTTTTATTTTTACGCTACTTGCCAACTAATGAGTTAGCCTGTCAGTGTTTTATGGATGCTGGTAGGAGACACAGTCCTGGGTCAGAGACAAAGGCCTTTATTTCTCACAGCACAGCAAGCAGGATGAGCATCAGTATGTTGGCATCAGTTCCCCTTGCCCCCAGTGTCCCATGTGATACCCTGGGTCTGGATGAATGCCTGCACATGCGGGGGGTTGAATCACAGCTGAGGAGTATTGATCTTGGGGAATCCGCTGTTTTATAACAGTAAAGCAGTAAACAAGACTGCTCTCTGTCCCAGAGGGAGACGTGGTGTCTTCCTCAAGGTTGCTGTAAGCATAACCCTGAGAAGTGGCCTGAGTAAAGAGCAGCCAGGACCTTGCATTCTTGGCGTACCCTGCAAGGTCTGTAGAGCAAGAGAGAGCCAGAGAAGACCGTCCGTCCCACCACAAACACGCAGTAAAAGCCAAGAGGAAGCGTGACTATTGCTACTAGTTTTACTTGAAGTAAAAATCTTACACCCCTTTATCAATATGTTTCCAAACAGACTTCAAAACTAACCACAGATGTTGGGACAGTTTAAAGAGTGCCCAGCATGTGTGGGACATTATAGTCTGCAAAGTTCTTTCCCATGTGTTACCTGATACCTGCCTCCCTGCGAGGTGGACTGGCAGATGCTACTGTTGTCTTCATCATGTAGATGAGAAAAGAGATCCGGAGAGGGTGAGTGATTTTGCCGGGTCATGCTCCCACAGTGGGTGGCGGAGCTGGGACCGGATCTCTCTTTTTTCTGCAAATGTATTTTGTCACACTGCTTGGAAGTTATTTTTCTGTTTGACATCGCCATGTCACTGTCCTCATTTCATGTCAAGCAATGTGCTTAGCAGACGCAGAAGTAGATTTACCCTTCTGCCTATTTATTAGACCCAGTGTGTAAAACACAAAAACAAAAAAAAGAACCCTACATTTTTGGTAAGAGCATGTTTTGCCCCTTATTTTGTAGGACAGTGATAACTACTTACAGAAGCTGACCTGGGGATGAATAGTCACTAGAAAGCAACTGTTCTTCTGAGCTGCAGGGGGAGATTGACAAACAGAAATGGGCAGGTTCTGCTGGATTACTAGCCTGCCGCTGTGAAGCCCCCATGTAGGGTGTGAAAGGTTTACTGCGGTGTGTAGAAGAGCAAGATTTTTGCATTGTGTTTAAAAGCCAGTGTATCAGAATCACTTACGTGCAAAATAATTCTTAAATAATTTGTAAATAATGAGGATAGATTTTTAGACTGGTTGTTAACTTAGTAAGAAAGCCCTCACTTTTTATATTCTTGTTAGTTCATTATAATAAGGTCAGTGAGTTCATAGTTAGCAGGTTAATTATCACAAGGTTGGGAGCAAAATCAGACTCCAGGCACAACCATGGTCTATAGGCTCTTACTGATCAGTAGCCCACAGTGTAGTTTGTAACAGCAAAGGGTAATGTAGTTTCTAGTAGCAAAAATAGTCCTAGGGTTAGAAGTTAGCAGACTTGGGGCTTCCCTGGTGGTGCAGTGGTTAAGAATCCACCTGTGAAGGCAGGGGACACAGGTTCGAGCCCTGGTCCAGGAAGATCCCACATGCCACGGAGCAACTAAGCCCGTGTGCCACAGCTACTGAGCCTGTGCTCTAGAGCCTGTGAGCCACAACTACTGAGCCCATGTACCACAACTACAGAAGCCCACACACCTAGAGCCCATGCTCCGCAACAAGAGAAGCCACTGCAATGAGAAGCCCTTGCACCACAACGAAGAGTAGCGCCCGCAACTAGAGAAAGCCCGTGCGCAGCCACAAAGACCCAATGCAGCCAAAAATAAATAATTAACAAATAAATAAATTTATTTAAAAAAAAAAGAAGTTAGCAGACTTGGAAGAAAACTCTTATTGCAAAACTTTTTATAGTATAGGAAACTCCTCACCTTTTTAAAATAAATAGAAACTCAAGATACAGAATAAGTATAGATTTAACTTAAATTTATGATAACTGGTTGGTAAGTATTTGCTAGCCTTTCTCATCTGTCTAAATGAAGATTAAGGACCAGTCATGTCTTGCTTCCTCAAATCACTTGTGTCAAAAGCTTTTTTTTTTTTTAATCCAGATTTTCTCATTAACTGCTTGAAACTTATAACCTTTGGTTTTAACTGTAATTTCTTTTTTTTTTTTTTTTTTTTTTTTTTTTGCGGTACGCGGGCCTCTCACTGTTGTGGCCTCTCCCGTTGCGGAGCACAGGCTCCGGACGTGCAGGCTCAGCGGCCATGGCTCACGGGCCCAGCCGCTCCGCGGCATGTGGGATCTTCCCGGACCGGGGCACGAACCCGCGTCCCCTGCATCGGCAGGCGGACTCTCAACCACTGCGCCACCAGGGAAGCCCTTAACTGTAATTTTAACCATGCTTTATTAAGGCTGTTTGGGTTGTATGATAATTTTAAGAATTTCATTTCTCTTTCTGTTTTCTTTTTAGTTGGGATGAAACTCACTTTGGAAAAATGGGAAGTTACTATATCAACCGCACCTTTTTCTTTGATGTGCACCCGCCTCTGGGAAAGGTGAGCAGTGTGGTGAATGACAGTGCTCTCCTAAGATTTGGAGCCAAGTCTTAGATTTGGATTTAATTCTTAGGCTTATAGAAAGAATTCCCTGACATTCCAGAACAGCTGCTTTCATGGGAAACCTTTGGTGTTTTTAGGAGTCCTCTGGGCTCAGAAATGGAGAGAGATTCCATCAGCTGATGGATGGATAAACAAAATGTGGTATTATCTATACAATGGAATATTATTGAGCCATAAAAAGGAGTGAAATATTGACACATGCTGCAACATGGATGAGTCTCATAAACATTATATTAAGTGGAAGAAGTCAGACATAAAGGGCCACATATTATATGTTTCCAGAATTGGCAAATCCTCAGAGACAGAAACTAGATTAGCAGTTGCCAGGGTCTGCGGGGAGGGAGGATTGGTGAGTGACTGTAAATGGGTGTGGAATTTCTTTGTGGGGTGATGAAATAGTCTGGAATTAGGTAGTGGTGATGGTCACACAACCTTGTGAATAAACTAAAAGGCACTGAATTGTACACCTTAAAGTGGTGAATTTTATGGTATATGAATTTTATCTTAATTGAAAAAAAAAAAAGAGATGGAGAGAAGGAATCTGTTGCACAAAGCAGAAATAACTTAGGGGAGCTGATTGTCCACAAGGGCCTGAAACTCCTTTCCACTCCCCGTTCCCAGCGTGCACGTTGTTTGGCTTGTTCCTTTCACATGATGTACGATTAGAAATTCCACCAATCAGAATTCATTTTACTCTCTTAAAAACAAACACCCCCAAGAAGGCTAATGGATTAGCCCTGGCATTTCACTTAGTCCTTTCTTCCTAACTGGAGGCTGAGCTCTCTGGTACTAAGGGGACAGGAATTTGCCTGGTATGAAGATGGGGAGTGTTATTGGAGCATGGAGTACTTGGGGATGAAGGCAGGGGATGAGGGGTGGCAGGGGTGGTGACTGTGACAGGTGGGCTTAGGGGGAAAGCACCAGAGCATGGGGCAGGGACCAGGGGCAAGGCCCTGCACGTGGGAGGGGTGGAGAGGAAGGTGGGATAGGTGGCCTATTTCTTTCTTTCTTTAATATTTATTTATTTGGCTGCACTGGGTCCCAGTTGTGGCACGTGTGATCTGTAGTTGCAGCATGCGGGCTCTTTATTTGCAGCATGCAGGATCTAGTTCCATGACCAGGGATCGAATCTGGGCCCCCTGCATTGAGAACGTTGAGTCTTAACCACTGGACCACCAAGGGAGTCCCTAGGTGGCCTATTTCAAAATTAGCTCCGAGCCCAGAGAAGGAGCAAAAAATGTAATGCCTCTTTCTGTCTCCTTTATAAGATAACAACAAGATTGGAGCAATTGAACAGTCTCTTTTAGTCACTTTAGGTGCATTAACTTATATATATAATGCTCAGAACAGCCTTATGAAGTAGGTACTGTTGTATCCTCATTTTACGGAAGGGGAAACTGGGACTCAGAGACGATAAGTAGTTTGCCATAGGGATTAAAGCTAGTAAGTGGCAGCTGGTAAGGTTCAGACTGGCTTAGAGTCTGCTCTGTTAACCATTATACCACTGCCTGATGAACTTGCCTTGCCCCAGTATTCGGGCAAGTACATCTGTTACTGCTGTAGAATTAGGCCACAGAACGTGCTGAATATTTGCACTGGGCTAGCCTGGGACCCAGCCCGCCAGTAGAAGAGATTTTCATAGGAAACCTAGCCCAGTCTTTCAGCTGGGGACTGCCTGTCTGTTTTTGGAGTCTGCTAGTGCTCAGCACAGTGAAGGCATGTGGAAAACACTTGCGAATTTGTTTTTGCTGAAGCCTTCCCTTCCTCACATGTGGCCCCTGTGTGAAGGGAGAAATGTGAGGCTTCTTTCTAAGGCTGCCCCCAGAGAGTGTGATCCATCTGCCCCTCTAATTTATCTCCTGATGGTCCTGTGCTCAGCCTGGATGAAAGAGAGTGATAAGCAAAGTAGCTTTCATAGGTTCTGAGGCCAAGTCAGTCCAAGAATCAAAAAGCCCCATGAAGTGGTGAGTAGAACGTTTTCTCCTACAGTACTGATCCCAATACCTGCCCCTTCACACTGGTCCCAGCCCTGGGCGCCAGGGGCTCCAAGGAAATAGGTACTTTTAAAAGAAATAAAGGGCTTCCCTGGTGGCGCAGTGGTTGAGAGTCCGCCTGCCGATGCAGGGGACACGGGTTCATGCCCTGGTCCGGGAAGATCCCACATGCCGCGGAGTGGCTGGGCCCGTGAGCCATGGCCGCTGAGCCTGCGCATCCGGAGCCTGTGCTCCGCAACGGGGGAGGCCACAACAGTGAGAGGCCTGCATACCGCAAAAAAATAAAATAAAATAAAAAATAAATAAATAAATAAAAAATAAAAAGAAATAAAAATACCTGCACATAGCAAAAAATTTGATCAGTACAGAAGGAAATAAAAGGTCAAAAGTTACCTTCCCTCACATTTCTATTCCTCAGAGGCAGCCAGGGTCATCTTTATTAACAGTTTCTTATATATCCTCTCAGAAACTTTATACAAATATAAGTGTGTATGCATTTCTACACACATATATATTAGCACACGTGAACAGCACATTATATATGCAAATGGGATCAGGCTAAAATTGTTGAGCAACTTGTATTTTAAACATAATATATCTTAATTTCTTTCCACATCAGTACATAAAATGTACCCCATTCTTTTTCATGGCTGTAGATTATTCCGTTATACAGTTGCGCCATAAATTATTTTGCCTCTCTTCAACTGGTGGGCATTTATGTTATTTCCAGTTTTTAGCCATTACAAAAGGTAGTGCAGTGAACATCCTTGTACATTTATCTTTTCATAGTTTTGCAGGCGTAGCCAAAAGAGCCTAAGTGGCTGAACTAAAGAGTCAAATAATATGCACATTTAGATTTGTGTTAGACATTGTTAAGTTTTCCTGCAAAAATGCTGTGATAATACATACTCCCACCAACAGTGTATGAGGGTGCTTGCTTCCCTCACATCGTTGCCAGCACTGGTATGATCATACTTCCAAAATTTTGTGAATCTGAGAGTAAAAACTGGTATATCACTGTTTTCATTTGCATGTCTTTCTGAATTACGTTGAACATTTTTCCATATGTTTTTTAGCCATCTGTGTTTTGTTTTCTATGAAAACATTTTTCTAGTAAGTTGCTCTTATTCTTATTGATTTGAATGAGTTCTTTAGTTAGGAAATTAGCTCAGGGCTACTTTTAACCTTATGGAAACTGAGAGGGAACTGAATTTTGAGTGCTTGTTAAACGCTTGTCAGAGTGCTAAGTGTTTTACCTACAACATTACCTCTAAGCCTCACAACCATCTGCAAGGAAGGTTTTATTACCTGTAGTTAAGAGATTATTAAGTATTGTCTATGATCAGAGAGCTAGTATAGGGGGCTCTGAGATCCAAACCATCTGTGCATTTCTTCACTCTACCAGACCAACCAAGAAGTCTGGGGATTTATGCCAGCACCAGGCGGGTCTGTCCTCTGAGATCCCAGGGGGAAAGGGACATTCATTTGATTGTCATTTGTCAGTTTAAGTTCACCTGAGTATTCGGATAGCTCTGTCTTCTCAATACCTTATATTACTTTACATTAAATTAATTAATATTAAATTAACTTCTGGACCCTGGAATTCCTTTTTTTTTTTTTTTTTTTTTTTTGGTACACGGGCCTCTTACTGCCGTTGCCTCTCCCGTTGCGGAGCACAGGCTCCGGATGCGCAGGCTCAGCAGCCATGGCTCATGGGCCCAGCTGCTCCGCGGCATGTGGGATCCTCCCGGACCAGG